GTTTTCCCTTCCCCCCACAACCCCGGTGCAGCAGCTCTTTCCTGTCCTTTAATAAAACCACCATTTTGCACCAAAGACGTCTCGAGAATTCTTTCTTGGCCGTCGGCTCCAGACCTCAGCCCACTGAACCTTACCGACATTACAAAACTACCTAAGTAGTTACCTTTTGGGAAGAGAGGGAGAGCAATCATGGGGAGGGCCCCTGAGGTCCCGGCCAATTCTGGTATGTTGGCAATATTTTATTTCTTTTTTTGTTTTTTAAAGATTTTACTTATTCTTTTTTGAGAGAGAGAATGAGAGATAGAGAGCACGAGAGGGAAGAGGGTCAGAGAGAGAAGCAGACTCCCTGCTGAGCAGGGAGCCCGATGTGGGACTCGATCCCGGGACTCTAGGATCATGACCTGAGCCGAAGGCAGTCGCTTAACTAACTGAGCCACCCAGGCACCCGGCAATATTTTATTTCTTGATATGGGCTAAAGTTACATGAGGGTGTTCACTTTGTGATAAGTCTGAAAGGAAAAGCACCATTTCCTCTCTATACTCAATACTTCTGACACCAAATGTATGGGATTTTCCACACCAAGAAGTTCTCCAGTTCTTGGAAGACACTTGTGAGGTGTCCTACAGTTTAATGCAATTCTAAAACTAACTCCCAAGATTTAGCGCAGACCCTGCAAGTTAGTCCCACAAGACTGTCCCCACTTCAGAAACTAATCAGAAGTCCCAAGTTGTCACATGCACTTCTGACTGACTATAAATCAGAAGTTCCCATTACCCTCTCCTCAAACTTGATAATTTGTTAGAATGGCTCACAGAACCCAGGGAAAGTTTAGTCATTATTACTGATTTATTATAAAAGCTATATTAGGGGCACCTGGGTGGCTCAGTCGTTGGGCATCTGCCTTTGGCTCAGGTTGTGATCCCACCGAGCCCCACATCGGGCTCCCTGCTCAGAGGGAAGCCTGCTTCTCCCTCTCCCACTCCCCCTACTTGTGTTCCCTCTCTCGCTGTGTCTCTTTCTGTCAAAAAAATAAATAGGGGCACCTGGGTGGCTCAGTTGGTTAAGCAACTGCCTTCGGTTCAGGTCATGATCCTGGAGTCCCGGGATCGAGTCCCACATCGGGCTCCCTGCTCAGCGGGGAGTCTGCTTCTCCCTCTGACCCTCTTCCCTCTTGTGCTCTCTATCTCTCATTCTCTCTCTCTCAAATAAATAAAATCTAAAAAAAAAAAAATTTCTTAGGGGCGCCTGGGTGGCTCAGTTGGTTGAGCGACTGCCTTCGGCTCGGGTCATGATCCTGGAGTCCCGGGATCGAGTCCCGCATCGGGCTCCCTGCTCAGCGGGGAGTCTGCTTCTCCCTCTGACCCTCTTCCCTCTCGTGCTTTCTATCTCTCATTCTCTCACTCTCTCAAATAAATAAATAAAATCTTAACAATAAATAAATAAATAAATAAATAAATAAATAAATAAATAAATAAAATCTTTAAAAAATAATAATAAAAAAATAAAAAATCAAATTCACTACTTAAAAAATAGTTTGGAAAGCAATATGACAGGGGACTGGAGGGTCTGGAAGATGAGTCTAGCAGACGAGATCAGGAAATTACTAAAGTTTGGACAGATAAAAGGCAATCAGGCAATCAAGGATGGAGTGATCAGCAGGTATTGCTTAGGTCTACACAGACAAAAGGTAGTCAGTGGAGGGTACCTGGGTGGCTCAGTCAGTTAAGCGTCTGCCTTCAGCTCAGGTCATGACCTGAGACCCCAGAGCAGAACTTTTTACTCTTTGCCCTCCTTTAAACATTCTTCTGGGGACAGGGTTCCACAATGCCTTATTCTGAGTGAGCAGAAGACAGAGATACCAGGTTAAATCGGAGTCTCCGCCATTCTCTCCTTCCTTCTCTTGTTTTATTTCTTTGTCAAGGTTCTGGCCACTGACCTACCCATAAGAAAACGAATGGGCTTCAGAAGAAACCTCAGCAAAGAGGAACTTGATATATAAAGTATCCTTCACTGAACTGTTAATGCCTTAAGAACAGAAGCCCAAGGGGTGCCTGGATGGTTCAGTCAGTTAAGCATCCACCTTTGGCTCAGGTCAAGATCCCAGGGTCATGGGATCAAATCCCACATCGGGCTCCCTGCTCAGTAGGGAGTCCGCTTCACTTCTCCCTCTGCCTGCAGCTCCCCTTGCTTGTGTTCTTTCTCTTTGTCAAATAAATTTTTTAAAAAACAAAAGTACAGAAGCCCAAATAAAAAGGCGTAATCAATAAGGCAAAGTTACTCCTTACAATAAGCACACTAGCAATGGAATTATTCTAGGGGAGGTTAATTTGGGACAGGTTTCTGGTTTTGGGTTGTTTTTTTTTTTTCTTACCCTTTTAGCAGCCTCTCCTTATTTCCCCCACTCCTCACTGATGAGGGAGCAAAAGGCTAGCTGAAGACAAAGTATAAGCTGACCCCCGGCAGCCTACTCCCACCCCCACTCCTGGGTGGGACATGTGTGACTTTCTTCCAGGAATCTCCCAACTATCTTAATGTTAATACCTTGCTAGAGGGGAAAACAACCTTAACTTGACAATGGCAAGGCCTCTGGTATCTTGTAGGTGGGTCCTCTTTGGCATATGAAAGTTGTTTTGAAAACCTCCCTTTTCCTTACCTCCTCCAACCCCATAGTATATTATCAGTCACCCCTCACAACCCCGGTGCTGCAGCTTCTTTCTGCCCACGGGTCCTATCCCCGTGCTTTAATAAAACCACCATTTTGCACCAAAGGCGTCTCAAAATTCTTTCTTGCTCATCAGCTCTAGACCTCACTCCACCGAACATCACCTATATTCCAAAACCACATCACCCACCCCTGGCAACCACTTTTCTACTTTCTGTTTCTGAGTTTGACTTTTTATTTAGATTCCACATATGTGATACTCCGCAGTATTTGTTTTTCTCTGTTGGGTTTTTTTCATTTAGCATAACGCCCTCAAGGTCCATCCATGTTGAAACAGCAGCAGGATTTCCTTCTTTCGGGACAGTTAGGTTGTTTCCATATCTTGGCTATTGTGAGTAATGCTGCAAGGAACATCGGAGTGCAGAAACCTCTTCAACATCCTCTTTTCATTTTTTTTTTTTTAATATATCCCCTGAAATGGGATTGCTGGATCATATGATTTCCAGTTCTAATTTTTTGAGGAACTTTCATACTACTTTCCATCATGACAGGTTCTTTTCATCCATCTGCTCTGCTATCCTGGCTTGCTCTCTGTGGCTGGTTCCGTCACCGTCAGAAAAGGGTGATTGCTGCAGTACCAGGCATTACATGAAGATTCAACAATATGAGGGATGAAGAGAGACCATTTCTACTATGTGTGTGTTTTTTGTCACCAGAAAAGCTTTCTTCCCAGTCACAAAAGGACAAATAGTATAAATTTCCACTTATATGAGGACCTAGAGGACTTAAATTCATAGGGACAAAAAGTAGAATGGTAGTTTCCGGGACTGAGAGGGGAGAATGTGGAGTTGGTATTTAATGGGTATAGAGTTTCAGCTGAGGAAGATGAAAATGTTCTGGAGAAGGATGGTGGTGATGGTTGGGCAACAGGGTAAATGTTCTTAATGCCACGGAACCGTACACATAAAAATGGTAAAATGTGGTTAAGTTTTGTTCTGGTTTTTTTGTTTTAAGATTTTATTTATTCAGGGGCATCTGAGTGGCTCAGTTGGTTAAGCATGTGCCTTCAGCTCAGGTCATGATCCCAGAGTCCTGGGATCGAGCCCAATGGCGGGCTCTCTGCTTCTCCCTCTCCCTCTGTTGCTCCCCTTGCTTGTGCTCTCTCTCTCTGTCAAACAAACAAACAAACAAATAAATATTAAGATCCTATTAAATGTTTTTTAATTTATAAATAAATAAGATTTTATTAAGATCTTATTAAATGTTGTTTTTTTTTCCTCACATGAATTTTTTGCTTAAGGCATATCCACCCATTGTCTCCTGACCACATCGTGTACCTTGCTTTGTGATTTTGCGCACATTACTCCAGTTTATAATACCCTTCTCTGTCTTCTCTGATAGTCAAAGACTTACATTTCCTTTAAGGCTAAGCCCAAATCCTACCTTCAATGTTAGCATTTCTCCATTATCCAAGGCTTTAGTGACTTACTCTCTCATCTATGATTTCTATGGTCTTATTTGGTGCACACTTTATATACATTTTCTTTTTAAGTATATGTCCTGCCTTCCCACTTGGACTTTAAACACATTGAATTCAGGGGTCCTGTTTTATGTCTGCGTTTATTTCCTTATTTATGTACATACATATGTATGTATGTATTTTTAGAGAGAGAGAGAGACAGCATGACAGAGAGAAGGAGAATCTTAAGCAGGCTCCACACCCAGCACGGGGCTCAATCTCACGACCCCGAGATCATGACCTGAGCCGAAGTCAAGAGTTGGACCTCTAAACGACTGAGCCACCCAGGCACCCCTGTCTGTTTTTATTCTCAATACTTAATCTAATACTAAATAATTATTAGTTTCTAAGGATGATCAGATTTTTAGCATTGATACAATACATCACAGAAGGTCTGGGGATCTCTTTAAACCTAATTTAGATTATAGTTGAATAATGAAGCTGTTAAAATTTGAGACTAATATTTCCATCAAATTTAATCCTTGTATATATCCATATATACATTTATTGGAATACACACAGAGCCACGATTACATCTGATTGTTTTGCTATGTTGATGTACTATGGCTCATTTTACAAAAGCAAGTATGTGCGTTCTAAGACACCTGTGCTCACAAGATGAGTTCTCTGAAACTATATTTGGATGGACAAGCTATTAAAAGCTTCTTGTACTGAGTGACCTTTCAGGCAGAATTAGATCAAATACTCATACTGCCGCTGCCTGTTGCTGAGTGGAAGACAGGAGAAAACCCTGGATTCAAACCTCCATTAGGTTTTTGTTTTCCTTGTTTGGTTTCCTTTCATTTTGCCTTAAGAAGATGAACAATGAGACCACAGCCCTGATATCCTTGAAGGAGGCAATGAAAAGGTTGCTAAGGGCTACAGGGAGGGAGCAAGCATTGCCTGCTTTTCTGGGAAAATGGGTAAGAGAAGAATAAAGAATAAAAATAGGCAAAGAACTATAGACATGCTAATTAGAATTCTGTCTCTGTTTAAAGTGATTTAAGTCTTCCAGGTTAAAAATATATATAACTAAATAAGAAAGAAAAATTACTCCCAGGTGAATTCCATTCATGTGCTATATTCTAGGTACACAAAATAAGTGAAATACGGTTTCTGTCCTCAAGGAGCTTAAAGCCTATATGGATAACAGAAGTATTCATAAATACTAGAATGTGATTGACCTTATGACCTTATGATGGTAATGTTCCTAAAGGGCTATGAGAACATGAAGAAAGGATCAATAAATTTTGCCTTTTATACTAGGAAAAGGAACACTTCACAGAGAGACATTTAAGCTGGATCTTAAAGTATGAGTAAAAAGTTATGAGAAAGAAAAATATGGGAAGGAATTCTGGGGTGAGGAAAAGTACTTGGAAGCCACAGAAGCCTGGAATCGTGTGCTGTGTTCAGTCAGCTGCTAGATGTCGCAAGTGGTTAGTGACTAGGATATGAGAGGACTGGCAGAAGAAGGGAGCAAAGGGCTAAGGGCTTTATGCTTAACCTCCTGAGGATATCCAATTTGGCTCTAACTGTATCAATGGACAACATAGATAATCAGTTGAGTTACATGAACAGAATTGTGTTTTAGAGGCATATTTCTAGGGATGCCTGGGTGGCTCAGCTGGTTAAGCGTCTGCCTTCAGCTCAGGTCATGATCCCAGGGTCCTGGGATCGAGCCCTGCATTGGGCTCCCTGCTCAGCAGGAAGCCTACTTTTCCCTCTGCCTGACACTTCCCCTGCTTGTGCTTTCTTTCTCCCTCTCTCTCTCTTTCTCTCATGCTCTCTCTCTGACAAATAAATTTTTTAAAAATCTTAAAAAAAAAAAAGCATATTTCTAGAGGATGGATTAGAGGTAGCAGAAATTGAAAGCAAGGATTCATTTAGGCTCCTGTAATCCTAGGTCAAAGTGAAAGATAGTTATTAACTGGTTTAGTGGTGATGGAGAGGAAGGGATAGTTCAGAGGCATTAATGGAGAGGAAGAAAAAAAGGTAAAAATTATTCTGAGATTTCTAGTTCAAGCAATTGAATAGCTGGTGATATCACTAACTAAACTGGGGGATTGTAGTAGAAAGCAGACTTGGATTTGCAGACATGTTGTTTAGGATTTATTTGGAATGGTGTGGGAATGCCTTTTGGTGAGAGGCTTTCCAAAAACTGTTAACAATTGTGAACTTTTATACTGACTGACAAGCTAGAGTTTCTCTCTATAGAGTTCAACCTAGAGATGACCTATAAGCAATATTGTCTTAAAGGTGTCAACGTTAATACCAACAGTATGCCAGATGACATTGTTTTGACATGCAAACGGAGACTGCTGGCATATTAGGTCCTGCAGGCTTACACTCCTACGAAACACCACACATTTCATAGAGGGCCTTATCTATATGTAAATAAAATATCCAAAACAGTGAGAAAATTCCACCATAGTAATTTCTGATGATTGGGGGGAGGGGGATAGTTAGCAGGTTCAGTTTAGGACAGTTTGATGTCTCCATCCAGGTGAGATGCACAAAACACAGTTAAAGATACAGGTCTAGAGTTTAGGAGAGATGTGGTACCTGAAGCTGAATTAGCCTTGAGATAAAGTGAGGACCAAGAAGAAAAGATGGCCAAGGACAGAACCTGGGCAACTCTAAAAGTATTCAGGTCACTGGGGACGTGGAAGCTCAGGGAAGTGGTATATGTATTTATCTATCACTTCTTTCATGAAAAACAATGTGGGGGGTCTTCAGGCCAGTGAGTTGCGTTGTTTCAGTTCTCTGTGAGTCAGTTTGACATAATTCTGGTGCCACAGCGCCCCCTGATGATTAGGTTGTTCAGAGCTACCCAAAATGCCCATGTTGGGTTACACAGCTCAGCAACTCATTCACATCGTGGATGTGGATCATATGAGACGTTATTTTATTACTTCTGTCTAAGGCCTTTGCTAGGTATTAGGGGACAGGTATAAAGTTGTCTCAGAAATAGTCTCTGATTCCCTCCCTCCAAAAGCTTACAATTTCATTCATGAAATGCTAACTCTAAAAATAAAGCAGGAGGTGGGGAGTGGCAGGTAATGGAGGCAGTCCCTGTGAAAATTAAGTCGGCAGGGTGATCTCCAGGCAGAAAGGCTAGGGGAGGGTGCCTGGGTGGCTCAGTTGGTTAAGCGACTGCCTTCGGCTCAGGTCATGATCCTGGAGTCCCGGGATCGAGTCCCACATCGGGCTCCCTGCTCAGCGGGGAGTCTGCTTCTCCCTCTGACCCTCTGACCCTCTGACCCTCTTCCCTCTCGTGCTCTCTATCTCTCATTCTCTCTCAAATAAATAAATAAAATCTTTAAAAAAAAAAAAAGAAAAGAAAGGCTAGGGGATTCAAGCAAACAGTGGAAAGTGAGCTTATCCTGAAGGTAGGATAGGATTTGGGCAGTCAGAATAGAGAAATGCACCTTATTAAATACTGGTCCCAGCACTAGCTAGCTATGACATTAGGTCTCAATCTTTTGGAGACTCAATTTCTTTATCTGTAAAGTTTACTTAATTTTTTAGTAATCTCTACATTCATGTAGGTCTTGAACTCATGACCCCAAGATCAAGAGTCTCATGCTCTTCTGACTGAGCCAGCCAGGCACCCCTCAATTTCTTTATCTGTAAAATGATAAAAATGACTGCTTCATTTCTTATGGTTGTTGTGAGAATCAAAGTAATGCTTGTATTTAAAATACTTCTTTTCTTAAAGTAGGTTCCATGCCCAATGTGGGGCTTGAAATTAAGACCCTGAGATTGAGAGTTGCAGGCTCCACTGACTCAGCCAGCCAGGCGCCCCTAAAATACTTTTGAAAATATAAAGTACAATACAAAAATCAAGACATGGCAGATAATTCAAGTAATCAGACGATTGAAAGGTTTGGCAATATAAGGAATATAGGACATAGGATGATGGTTAGGGAGAACAGCAAATAGGAACATCTGTTCATCATTTAAATAGCTACCCAAATTAATGGCAGTTATAAACAGTGTATTAGAGCTTTATCTTTTTTTTTGTTTTAGAACTTTATCTTAAGGCAAAACTAAGGTTTTGTCCCCTGTCCTAAAGTCCCGCTTGATTCTTTTATTCTATAGAGTAGACCACAAACTCCAAGCTTTAGAAGCACAGTTTAAAGAACTGGACTGCACCAAGGATAGTCTGACCCAGAGATTTGAAGAGCATAGCAAGGCTCTGGCAAGCCAGGCAGCCCAAGATGAGCTGTGGAGAGCAGTTCTGGCAACAAAGTGAGTATCCAGTGAGAAAGCGGTGGAATTTTGTGGCTTCATGAGAGCTTGCAGTGGTCATTCTAAACTTGAATTTCAATGGGTTGTGAAGAAATTATATTTTCGGAGGTCAATTCATTCAAAAAAGTTAATTTGAGCACCTGTTGATAGGCCAGTACTGCCATATACATCTCGTCACAGTGTCTCTTTTCTGACAGTGTCTTGCTAACACAGAGATGGGTGACATAACTCCTCTGCTGTTGAGAAATGTGTAGTGTGAGGGGCCTGAGAACTAAGCTACCCCATGTAGGGCATGCCCTATTCTAAAATATTTTCTAAAATACAGTCCCTGGTTCTTCTCATGGGTTTGTATCCTAATAGAATTAGTTTTATGTTTGTACATAAGGAGTTCTACTGATTAAGAAGCTCTCCACATTTTTTGTAGATTCACTTCAATGGAACTGAATATTTTATACAGCTACATTATCGAAGTACTCATCTGCTTGCACACTTGTGTGCTTGAGAAGCTGCCAGACCTGGTGCAAGGTCTTCCCACCTTAGCCTCTGTCCTGAGACGAAAAGTCAAGAACCAGCGCATTAGAGTCGTGTGGGAGTCTGTCCTGGAGGAGCGTGGGCTGCAAGAAGGAGATATCACAGCACTTTGTACCTTCTTTATTGCCCATGGTAACAAGGCAGAATACTATGGTACTAAAGTGAGGCAGATGTATACCAGGGATGTCGCTTGCCTGATCACCAACATGGTAAAGAACCAGGCTCTGCAGGATAGTTTGCTGAGGGCTGTTCAGGTCATTGAGAAGGGGAAAGCAGTGAAGGCCCCCGAAGAGAAAAAGTCATCCCTAAAAGAGTTGATACCATCAGTCAGAAACTAACTTTGATGACCAAGAGATTCTACTTCCAGCAGTTTATCTTGAAAATGGAGAAAAAAAGATGTATGTACAATTTATTACAGGCTTATTTTTATAGCAAAAGTGAGGGGAACCTTAAACTAACTATGATAAATTGATACAGTGGATACTTTCTGTGTAGCAATAGAAGAGAATGAAGAAGTTCTTTGTGTAACTGTAAAATGATAAGGAGTTATTACCAAGATGTATTGTTTAAAAATATTTCCTATATATTGTTAAGTAGAAAAAAAGGACACACACACACACACACACACACAAGCTATTATATCCATAAACTTCATAAGCTTCCTCTGGAGAGATACATTAGAAAGTAAGAACATTGGTTGTCTCATTCAAAAAAATGAAGAGGCTAGGGGTCAAAGATAGGAGGAATTCTTTTCACTGTTAGTCCATTTTGTACATTTTGAATTTTGAACCATGTGAATGTACTATGTACTAAAAGACAAACAATAAAAACACCTAATATATATTGTATGTTGTGCATTTTCTCTCTAGTACACTACCATAGTTATTTTACACTGGAAAGGGAACTCATATACATTGACTATATATTAAAATATTTATTGGGGCGCCTGACTGGCTCAGTTGATAAAGCACGTGATTCTGGATCTCAGGGTTGTAGGTTTGAGCCCCATAATGGATACAGAAATTCCTTAAAAATAAAATTGTAAAAAAATTTTATTGAACACCAAATGCCATGTACTAGGTGCTGCGAATAACAGAAACATTTAAAAATGTGGACCCTGTCTTCCAGGTAAAGGTTAAGTGCTTATGCATTATTTGAGAGGTACAAATTCAGATTAACCAAAATGAGGTAACATTCTGGAAGGAGTTAGGTAGGGGATTCAAAGTAATACAATATGATGTGTTACCTTGCTGGCCCTCTTTGAAAATAAGCCATGAGACACAGCAGCTTGCTTGGTAGATAAATGCACTCAGTCTTGGAGCATCTGGCTGGCTCAGTTGGTAGAGCATTAGACTCTTGCTCTCAAGATTGTAAGTTTAAGCCCCATGTTAGGTGTAGAGATTACTTAAAAATAAAATCTTGAGGGGTGCCTGGGTGGCTCAGTCGGTTAAACGGCTGCCTTCGGCTCAGGTCATGATCCCAGGATCCCGGCATCGAGCCCCACATCGGGGTCCCTGCTCGACGGGAAGCCTGCTTCTCCCTCTGCTCCTCACCTCGCTCACTCTCTCTCAAATAAACAAATAAATAATAAAAAATAAATAAAATCTTGGAAAAGAATGCACTTTTTTTTCTTGTCCTCCCCAGACACACTGTTTGGAGAAACCATGTCTTGGAAGGAAGATGGAAAGGGAATTTCTCTGTCATGCTCATTTAGTCTACTGTTTTCAGTTGGCTGAAGTTTGTTCCATGGGGAGTAACTGCCCCCCCCACCATACTTCCAGGATGCATCATTTAAGTCCTCCCAGCAGCCAGTGGGAAGCCAGTGCCTGTCTTGCTCAGTGCAATGTTTCACTGGAGTCCAGAAGTGATAGGAAGAGCCAGAGATTCTAGAAATGCAACTGGTCAGCCCCAGGCAGAGCAAGGGACTGTGGGTCCAGAAAGTAAACAAGGCCAAGGAAATCTGAAGAAGCACATAAAATGTATCCATTACACAGACATAAATACCTGGACATATAAATCAAAATGTTAAGAGTCAAATAATAAGACAATAATAAAAACCACTATCAGTAGGCAATACATGACTGGGTGAGTTCAGAGGAGAGTTATCACTGTGTGATTGAAGACTGAGGAATACTTCCTGGAGGAAGCACATTGAATTGATCCTTCAAGTAGGCAAAGCACCAAAGTAACTCATGAGTTAAGATTTCAAACTATGGCCTGAAAGCACAAGATTTGGACACCAGCGACTAGATCATAGTTGAATGTTTAAAAGGATAATGGGAGGGGGCTTCTGGGTGGCTCAGTCTGTTGGGTGTCCGTCTCTTGGTTTTAGCTCAGGTCATGATCTAGGGGTCATGGGATCCAACCTCAAATCCGGCTCCACATTCAGCACAGAGTCTGCTTGAGTTTCTCTCCCTCTCTCTGTGCCCCTCTCCACTGCGCTCATGCTCTAATAAACCTTAAAAAAAAAAAAAAGAAAGAAAGAATAAAGGGGGGTTTCACAGGGAAAAGAAGGTTGGGACCATATTAGGGAGCTGAAATTTTAGGCTAAGGTGTTGATATCATGGACAAGTGGATTGACAACCACAGGTTTCTGAATTCACATTAAAACAAAATGAAAGCTCCCAAAACTCTACCAAGGGCCCACATATCCTTGGTTTATCTCCATCTGAAACCATCTGGCCAACCTGAATGGCCTCAGCAAACCCAAAAGACCTTAAAGACTGTATTCATGCAGTGATTTTCTTCTCTTTCTCCACATTTTTGTAATATTTCCTCAAAAACTCAGGCCTGAGTTTTTTTCCAGGTTGTTTTTCTTTTCTTTTCCTTTTCTTTTCTTTTGGTTTTGTTGTTTAAAACATTTTTCTTACTGTGGTAAAATACATATAACAAAATTTACCACCCTAACAATTTTTAAGTGGACAGTTCAGTGTATTATATACATTCATAATATTGTGCAACCATTACTACCATCCATCTGAAAACAAACTCTGTACCCATTTAACAGTAACTTTCCCAGCCCCTGGCAACCATCATTCTATTTTCTGCCTCTTGGTTTGGTTCTTAAGTACTAGGGATCAGTCTATTTCGTTCCTGTGGTTTTTCTAGCCAAAATCTACTTTTCTTTTCTTTTTTTTAATTTTTAAGTAATCTTTACACCCACTGTGGGGCTCAAGATCACATGAGATCAAGAGTCGCATGCTCTACCAATTGAGCCAGCCAGATGTCCCAAAACCTACTTTTTTCATAGAATTCAAAACGGTAGGATCAGGTGTCAGCACAAGAACTTAGTATCAAAGTGGAAAACTTATTTCAGAATGTATAAAATGTTAAAATACTTTTTACCTCCTTTGTAATTTTGATTGTTCTAGATTGAAATTTAATAATACAGTAGTACATCATAAATGATGCACATGACAGCTAAGCCCCAGGATCAAGGCAGCCCTGTAGTTTGTTTTCCAAGCCCTACAAAACTGCTATAGAAATGAATGGAGGGGGGCGCCTGGGTGGCTCAGTCATTAAGCGTCAGCTCAGGTCATGATCCTAGGATCCTGGGATCGAGCCCTACATAGGGCTCCCTGCTCGGCTGGAAGCCTGCTTCTCCCTCTCCCATTCCTCCTGCTTGTGTTCCTGCTCTCACTATCTCTCTCTGTCAAATAAATAAAAAAAAAATTTTTTTTTAAATGAATGAATGGTTTAAAAGGATTATTTACCATTACCAAGTGGGATTTATTCCTGGGCGGCAAGGGTGGTTCAACATCTGCAAATCAATCAATGTGATACACTACATAAATAAAAGAAAGGACAAGAACCATATGATACTCTCAATAGATGCAGAAAAAGCATTTGACAAAGTACAGCATCCTTTCTTGATCAAAACTCTCCACAGTGTAGGGATAGAGGGTACATACCTCAATAACATAAAAGCCATTTATGAAAAACCCACAGTGAATATCATTCTCAATAGGGAAAAACTAAGAGCTTTCTCCCTATGGTCAGGAACATGGCAGGGACGTCCACTATCACCACTGCTATTCAACATAGTATTAGAAGTCCCATCCTTAGCAATCAGACAACAAAAAGAAATAAAAGGCATCTGAATTCGGCAAAGAAGAAGTCAAACTCTCACTCTGCAGATGACATGATACTCTATGTGGAAAACCCAAAAGACTCCACCCCAAAATTGCTAGAACTCATACAGGAATTCAGCAAAGTGGCAGGATATAAAAATCAGTTGCATTTCTATACACCAAAAATGAGATAGAAGAAAGAGAAATTAAGGAGTTTCTCTCCCATTTACAATTGCACCCAAAACCATAAGATACCTAGGAATAAACCTAACCAAAGAGGCAAAGGACCTGTACTCAGAAAAATATAGAACACTCATGAAAAAAATTGAGAAAGACAAAGAAATGAAAAAACATTCCATGAAAAAAAAAAGCATTCCATGATCATGGATTGGAAGAACAAATATTGTTAAAATGTCTATGCTACCTAGAGCAATCTATATATTTAATGCAATCCCTGTCAAAATACCATCAACTTTTTTCACAGAACTGGAACAAATAATCCTAAAATTTGTATGGAACCAGAAAAGACCCCAAATAGCTAAAGGAATGTTGAAAAAGAAAACCAAAGCTGGCAGCATCACAATCCCAGACTTCCAGCTCTATTACAAAGCTGTCATCATCAAGACAGTATGGTACTGGCACAAAAACAGACACATAGATCAATGGAACCGAATAGAGAGCCCAGAAACGGACCCTCAACTCTATGGTCAACTAATCTTTGACAAAGCAGGAAAGAATATCCAATGGAAAAAAGACAGTCTCTTCAACAAATGTGTTGGGAAAACTGGACGGCCACATGCAGAAGAATGAAATTGGACCATTTCCTTACACCATACACAAAAATAGACTCAAAATGGATGAAAGACCTCAAATGTGAGACAGGAATCCATCAAAATCCTTGAGATGAACATAGGCAGCAACCTCTTCAACCACAGCTGCAGCAACTTCTTCCTAGAAACATCGCCAAAGGCAAGGGAAACAAAAGCAAAAAGGAACAATTGGGACTTCATCAAGATAAAAAGCTTTTGCCAAGCAAAGGAAACAGTCAACAGAATCAAAAGACAACCAACAGAATGGGGGAAGATATTTGCAAATGACATATCAGATAAAGGGCTAGTATCCAAAATCTATAAAGAACTTATCAAACTCAACACCCAAAGAACAAATAATCCAATCAAGAAATGGGTAGAGGACATGAACAGACATTCCTTTTTTTAAAGATTTTATTTATTCATTTGAGACACAGAGATACAGAGAGAGAGAGAGCATGAGCAAGGGGAGAGGCAGAAGGAGAGGGAGAAGCAGGCTCCCCGCTGAGCAAGGAGCCCAGTGCAGGACTCAATCGCAGGACCCTGGGATCATGACCTGAGCCGAAGGCAGACGCTTAACCATCTGAGCCACCCAGGTGCCCCATGAACAGACATTTCTGCAAAGAAGATATCCAAATGGCTAACAGACACATGAAAAAGTGCTCAACATCACTCGGTATCAGGGAAAGACAGATCAAAACCTCAATGAGAAACTACCTCACACTGGTCAGAACAGCTAACCTTAACAAGTCAGGAAACGACAGATGTTGGCAAGGATGCGGAGAAAGGGGAACCCTCCTACACTGTTGGTGGGAATGCAAGCTGGTATAGCCACTCTGGAAAACAGTATGGAGTTTCCTCAAAAAGGTTAAAAATAGAACTACCCTACACCCAGCAATTGCACTACTGGGTATTTACCCCAAAGATACAAATGTAGTGATCTGAAGGGGCACCTGCACCCCAATGTTTATAGCAACAATGTCCATAATAGCCAAACTATGGAAAGAGCCTAGATGTCCATCAACAGATGAATGGGTAAAGAAGATGTGGTATATATATACAATGGAATATGTATATAATGGAGTGTTACACAGCCATCAAAAATGAAATCTTGTCATTTGCAAGGACGTGGACGGAACTAGAGGGTATTATGTTAAGCGAAATAAGTCAATCAGAGAAAGACAATTATCATATAATCTCACTGATATGTGGAATTTAAGAAACAAGGCACAGGATCATACGGGAAGAGAGGAAAAAATGAAAAAAGACTAAACCAGAGAGGGAGACAAACCATAAGAGACTCTAAATCTTAGGAAGCAAACTGTGGATTGCTGTAGGGGAGGGGGTGGGGGAATGGGGTGGCTGGGTGATAGACACTGGGGACGGTATTTGTTGTAATGAGCACTGGGTATTATATAAGACTGATGAATCACAGACCTGTACCCTGAAACAAATAGTAAAAAAAATTAATAACATGGTTTAAAAAATAAAAATAAAGAAGAAATGAATGGATGGAAATTAAGAGGGACACACTAATGCTTCAGCAAATCTTGACTTTAAACTGCACAGATTGTTCTCTTCCTCATTCTTGAGGCCTCCCCTCCCTTTCACTTGTTTTTCTGTAGAATCTTTTGTTCCAAGAACTGGGTGATGCAGATACTTAGTAATGAGACTTGGATGGCCCATGGCAGCGCTAGTCCTGAGACCACCTTGAAAACATAAGAAAAGTGGGGACAGCACGTACCAGATTCCTGCCGAAACTGCCCAGATCCTGTAATGCCTATGGAATCCCTCAGCCTTTTGCCCTGGGCGAGCTTGAAGTCTTGGAGGCATGAGTCTGCTGCAGCCTCCTTCGCCTGGCGAAGCAATAAACTATCTTCCTTCTTTATACCCAAGCTCTGTCTTCGCCTTACAAATTTCGGCCCCAGAACACAAAAAGTCGGTTTTGGACAACACTTAGAAGGGAAGGCAATCCTAAAACAACCTATCTCTGGGCCTCAGACTTCAGAACGGGTGTGTTAGAGAAGGCAGCGGCAGTGCATGTTAAACTGTATCAAGTTTGCCAATTCTCTGGCCACATCCCTTCTAGGAGATCAACCTAGAAGATGCTTCCTAAGAACACTAGAAAACGACCTAAGAGGTTTGGTACAAGATAGCAGAAACAGAAAAGTAGCCTGAGGAGTAGAATTTTAAGAAGAGGGGAAAATTTTTAAAATTTCTGTTTGGTCTTTAATTTGTCTCAAGGTTTCCCTTTTTCTGCCAGGGACCAACCTCGCGACACTCACGGGTTTCCGCAGCGAACGACACTGCAACGCAAGGGGAGGGCCCTCCGCCGGGCAGGGAGCGGGCCGGGCCGGGGCGGGGCGGACGGCGCTCACAGGACCCGGAAGTCCCGCCCTGCGGAACTTCAGCTGTGTCGGCCCTTGGGCGGTTCTCTGGGTGGGAGGGGCCGTTTGGGTGGGCAGTTGTGATGTCACTACCCCTTGTCGGGTTGCTACGGCACCACTGCTAAGATTAGGTATTTTTGGCTGACCGAGAAAAGGGGAGTGTGGGCTCAAAGCGCCGGGAAACGACTCCAGGTGCACGAAAGCTGGAACGTGGCGGCTCGCGTGCTGCCGCCACAACAACGGTAAAACGGAAGTCCTCCCGCGCAGCTCGGCGTCCGGGCGGAAACAGCATTCTTCTCGGAGCTGAGGCCCCGAAGCTTCGGGCTTGGGCGGCCTCGGGCTTGGCTGCTGGGAGCTAAGGGAGCACCCTCAGCTGGTAAGAGGGAGGAGGGGAACTTGGCGCGTACCTCCCGCCGGGCGGGAGAGCTGGAGCGCACTGCCAGCCTTGCCGCAACGGTTGTGTTAATGCCTCGGAGCAGCATAGGTCTCCCGACGGAAAGGTTCGTTTCCTTACCCGACATTTAAACATGGATAAATACGCCGCCTTCCAGGGTAGTCCTGTTTCCCTGGATCGCAGAGCGCCTTTTTGCTTCAAGACGTTATGTGATGCTCCCAGTTTCTGAATTCTGATACGCTGCTGGGCATAATATTTAAACACAAAGGTGTTAATTTCCTTTCTTCGTAGTTGGGCCGGAAATAAGATTCTTTCTCTTGCAGGTATTGATGTTGAGTATACCTTTTTAGCATATTAAAATGGCTGTACCCAAAACCGCCATCCCCTCCTTGTCGGAATGCCAGTGCCGCATCTGTGTGGAAATCCTAATCGAGCCCATAACACTGCCTTGTAACCACACGCTCTGTAACCCATGCTTCCAATCGACTGTCGAAAAGGCGAGTTTATGCTGTCCCTTCTGTCGCCGCCGGGTCTCTTCGTGGACCCGATACCATGCCCGAAGAAATTCTCTTGTCAACATGGAACTGTGGGAATTAATCCAAAAACACTATCCAAAGGAATGCAAGCTTAGAGTTTCTGGGCAGGAATCAGAGGAAATCGGTGAGTAAAACCCAGCGTACGTGTTGTCTGAAAAATCAAAATCCTTCAAAAAGTGAATCACCACTAATCCATTTTCGAAAAGGATAAAAAGCCGATTAATATTTGTCTAAATTTTTCTCTGGGATTTGGGTTTTATGGGCCCCAAAATGTGGATTGAGGTCTATGGTAACATTTTGTTCATTGTTAGAATGCCCAGACTGTGTTCAGTTGTTTGTTGGGTTGAAAATGACAACAAAGAAACAAACCCAGAAGAATGGCCCACATAGAGCCTTCAGTCATGTGAAAGTTATATAAATATTCACAGATGAGCAGTAGTCAGTAGAGCAACCGCAGAAGTACAAAAAGTACTGGATTCCTGTATTACTATTTCTTTTACTTTCAGTTTTTTTTTTAAGATTTTATTTATTTACACACACACACACACACACACAGAGCACAGGCAGAGGGAGAGGAAGAGGCAGGCTCCCCGCAGAGCAGGGGGAGCCTGATGTGGGACTTGATCCCAGGACCCCGGGATCATGACCCGAGCCGAAGGCAGTTGCTTATCCAACTGAACCATCCAGAAGCCCCAGTTATTTCCTTAACTTACTTGATTACAGCAATACATCTCCATTCATTTAATTCTTCCGTTAAGCATGCAGTGAACCTCAACTAGCTTTTAGTAGCCAGTTCCATCTAGTTCAGTTATTATTTAAAGCCCTCCACCCTGTAGACTCAACAGCTCTTCACTGTGCCCCATACTGAACACTTGACTCTAGCACACTTAATGTGATCAATAAGCCACGCAGTGTTTCTTGTCTAGGCTTTGAAAATGGTGCCTGTGCTCTGGTGTACTTGCCTTTTTTTGGGAATTACTTTTATGTGGTAAATATATATAACATATTTGCCATTTTAATGATGTTTTCAGCAGTAGTTACACTTTATTAAAACTGCTTTGTTGATACCTGCACATAGAATTGATACATTTAAAGTGTATAGTTCACTGGTTTTGGTATTTCACATGATTAGTTTTTCAGAATTGTAAAATATATATAGCATAAAATTTTTTTTTAAGATTTATTTATTTGACAGAAATAGCAAGAGCATGAACACAAGCAGGGGGAGTGGGAGAATGAGAAGCAGGCTGCCAGCTGAGCAGGGAGCCCCGTGTGGGGCTCGATCCCAGGACCCCGGGATCATGACCCGAGCCGAAGGCAGATGCCCAATGACTGAGCCACCCAGGCGCTCTTATATAGCATAAAATTTGCCATTTTAACCTTTTTTTTTTTAAAGATTTTATTTATTTGAGAGAGAGAATGAGAGACAGTGCGAGAGGGGCAGTCGCTTAACCAACTGAACCACCCAGGCGCCCCCATTTTAACCTTTTAAGTGCAGAATTCAGTGGCAGTAATTATATTCACAATGTACAACCATCATCATTATGTTTCCAAAACTTTTTTTTTTATTTACTTGAGAGAACATGCACGGGTGGGGGGGGGGAAGCAGAGTCCTTGCTGAGCAGGCAGGGATCCTGGTGCAGGACTCCATCCCAGGACCTTGGGATCATGACCTGAGCCAAAGGCAGACACTTAACCAACTGAGTCACCCAGGTGCCCCTCCAAAACTTTTTCATCACCCTGAATTCTTTAACCATTAGGCAGTGACTCTCCATTTTTCTCCCTTCCCATCCTTTCTTCCCAAGTGTCTATCGACTTTGTGTCTATGAAATTCCTTGTTCTAGATATTTCATACACATGTATTCATACATTATATGACCTGTTGTGTCTGACTTCTTTCAGTTGATGTTTCCAAGGTTATACACAGTTGTAGCATGTATTAGTACTTCATTCCTTTGTAGAGCTGAATAATGTTTTATTTTATGGATTGTATTATATTTTGTTTTTATCTTCATCCATTGACGGACATTTGAGTTGTTTACAGCTTTTGGCTGTTTGAATAGTGCTGATATAAATATTCATGTATAATAAGTATTTGAACATTTCCTGTTCTTTTGTGTATGTACCTAGGAGTGGAAGTGCTGGATCATATGGTAATTCTTTTTTTTTTTTTTTTAATAAAGGTAGAAAGGATACTTTAAAAGATTTTATTTATTTGTCAGAGCATAAGCAGGGAGAGCTGCAGGCAGAGCAGGCAGGTGGTTAAAAGGGCAGAGGGAGAAGCAGCTGAACAAGGAGCCCAGTGCAGGACTCAATCCCAGGAGTCTGGGATCATGACCTGAGCTGAAGGCAGATGCTTAACCGACTGAGCTACCTAGGCATTCCTCATATGGTAATTCTATGTTTAACTTTTCGAGGAACTGCCAAACTTTTCCATGGGGCTGTGCCATTCTGCATTCCCACCTGCAATGTATAATGGTTCCAGTTTCTCCACATCCTCACCAACACTTATGTTCTGTTTTTTTGGTGTTTTTATTTTTATTTTTTAGAAATAGCCATCCTAGTAGGTATGAAGTGGTATCTTAGTATCTGTGTCTTTTTTATTTATTATTTTTTATTTATTTTTTTACTGTCTCGGTCTTTTTAATTGTGGTAGAGTATGCAACACAAAATTTGCCATTTCCACTGTTTTTAAGTGTACAGTTCAGTGGCATTAAGTACAGTCACACAGGTGTACAGTCATCACCACCATCCTTCACCAGAACTCTTTTCATTTTCCCAAACTGAAACTCCATACCCATTAAATAGTAACTCTCCAGTTCCTTCTCCCTCCAGCCCTTTTAACCACCATTCTACTTCCAGTTTCTATGAATTTGACCACTTTAGGTATCTCATATAAGTAGAATCATAGTATTTGTCCTTTTGTATCTGGCTTATTTCACTTAGATGTCTTTAAGGTTCATCCATATTGTAGCATGTGTTAGAATTTCATTCCTTTCTGGGGCGCCTGGGTGGCTCAGTTGGTTAAACATCCAGCCCTTGATCTCAGCTTAGGTCTTGATATCAGGGTCATGAGTTCAAGCCCCTCGTTGGGCTCCATGCCCAGCATGGTGCCTACTTAAAAAAGATTTTTTTTCGTTCTTTTCTATTGCAGAATAATATTCCATTGAATGTATTTACCACATTTTGTTTATTTATCAGTGGACACTTGGGTTACTTTACCTTCTGGCTATTGTGAATAATGCTGCTGTGAACAGTGGTGTACAAGCCTTTTTTTGAGTTCCTGTTTTCAACTTCTTTGAGTATGTACCCAGAAGGGAATTGCTGGATCATATGCTAATTCTATGGGGATTTTTTTGAGGGACTGCCATACTCTTTTTCCATAGCAGGTGTACTCTTAAATTACCACCAGCAGTGTGCAAGGACTCCATTCTTCCATATCCTTGTCAGCACTTGTTACTTTCTTACTTTCTGGGTTTTGCTTTATTTTGTTTTTTTTAAATGGAGCCATCCTAATAGGTATGAGATGCTATCTCATTGTGGTTTTGATTTGTATTTCTCTAATGACTAATGATGTTGAACATCTTTGCATGTGTTTTTTTGCCATTTGTATATTTTCTTTGGAGAAATGTTTATTCAAGTCTTTTTTTGCTCATTTTTTAATTGGGTTATTTGGTTTTTTGTTACTGTTGAGTTGTTGGTGTTCTTTATATATTCTAGATGTTAACTCCTTATCAGATATGATTTGCAAATATTTTCTCCCATACCATAGGTAGACAATTCCTCTGCTGATTGTGTCCTTTGATGCACAGTAGTTTTTAAGTTTGATGTAGTCCTATTTGTCTATTTTTGCTTTTGTTGCTTGTGGTTTTGGTGTCATATGCAAGAAATCTTTGCTAAATTTCAATGTCATGAAGCTTTTTTCCTGTTTTCTTCTAGGAACTTTATATGTCTTATATTTAGGTCTTCAATTCATTTTGAGTTAATTTTTTAAATATGGTATGGGGTAAGTGTCCAACTTCATTTTTTTTACATGTAGATAGCCAGTTTTCCCAGTGCCATTTGTTGATAAAATGGCTGTTTTAAAGTTTTTAGGTAGTAAATCTGATGTCTGGACCTCCTCAAAAATGGTTTCTATTAATTTATTTTGTTCCTTTGAATTGTCCATACTTTTTCTTTGTATGCTTTGTGATTTTTTTTTTTGAGAAAATTGGACATTTGACTGTTACAGTGTGGTGATACTGTAAGTCAGTCTTCCCTTTCCCCTGAATTTACCTTTTTTTTTCTTAAAGATTTAATTTATTTATTTGTCAGAGAGAGAGCGCACACAAGCGGGGGGAACGGCAGGCAGAGGGAGAAGCAGGCTCCCCACTGAGCAAGGAGCCCAATGTGGGGCTCCATCCCAGGATGCTGGGATCGTGACCTGAGCCGAAGGCAGACACTTAAGCAACTGAGCCACCCAGGCATCCCAGTTTACCTTTTTTTTTTTGATTGTTGAAGGCTGTAATTGTCCATTTGTTTACTAACTCCCAAACTGTTTTTGCAAAGACTATTGCCTTGTTGTATGTGGTCATCTGTGTCTCTGTGCCTTAGCTTGTTTTCAGTTAGCGTTTTGACAGATTTCCTTGCATGTCAGGAGCTAAAAAAAAAAAACAACAAAAAGAAACAAAAAAGCACCTTTTTGTCTTGGAACATTGGTTCAGTGCGGAGGCAGTCCTTCAGTCCTTAGCCAGACTTGCACTGAGCCTAGGGAATCAGCCCAAGGTGAAAGTTTAAGGGTCTTGTGTGTTTTTGGAGCATGTGTCTTGCCCTGGGTATGCTCCACCCCGTCCAGAACCAGTGTCCCATTGTCAGAATGTAGATATCCTTCAAGACTGCCACTACACTGAGGAGGAGGTAGGGCAAGAATAAAAATGCCACAGAACTTTCCTCCTATTTTGAAGTTGCCTTTTTCTTGATTCACTATTTTCTGGGTTGCTGTAAACCTTTGTTTTCCAGAGTTCTGACGATGTTGGCTCTGATAGTTTCTACCTGGTTTTTCTTATTTCTATGGAGGGATGAGAGCTTGGAGCTGCCTGCCCTGCCATTTTGCTGACAGCACTCCATCAGCCTTCTCTTAAGTGC